GGTTAGGTCAGGTAGGTCAGGTTAGGTTAGGTCAGGTTAGATTAGGTGAGGTTGGTCAGGTTAGGTTAGGTCAGGTAGGTCAGGTTAGATTAGGTCAGGTATGTCAGGTTAGGTTAGGTTGGGTTGGGTTGGGTTGGGTTGGGTTGGGTTGGGTTGGGTTGGGTTGGGTTAGGTTAGGTTAGGTTAGGTAGGTTCTTATAACGGCCTTCTAACAAGGGTACTCTGATTACAGTGGTAATCAATGAACTCTAATTAGAGTACTTCAGCACTCGAATGCACTCTAATGCATTATAATGCACTCTACGGCATTCTACGGCATTCTACGGTACTCTAAGGCACTCTAAGGCACTCTACGGCACTCTACGGCACTCTAGGGCACAATAGGGCACTGTATGGCACTCGACGGCACTCTCCGACAATTTCCGGCATTCTCCGGCAACTCTCCGGCACTCTGCGGCACTCTCCGACACTCTTCGGCACTCTGCGGCAACTCTCCGGCACTCTGCGGCACTCTCCGGCACTCTCTGACCTTCTGCGGACCTCTGCGGCACTCTTCGGCACTCTCCGGCACTCTGCGGCAACTCTCCGACACTCTCCGGCACTCTGCGGCGACTCTCCGGCAACTCTCCGACACTCTCCGGCAATTCTCCGCCACTCACAGGCGCTCTGCGGCTCCACTCCTTCACTCTCCGGCAAAACTACGGCACTCTCTAGCACTCTCCGGCAACGCTCCGGCATTCTGCGGCAACTGTCCGGCACTTTCCGGCACACTGCGGCAAATCTCCGGCACTCTCCGGCACTCTGCGGACGTCTGCGGCACTCTCCAGCACTCTCCGGCACTCTGCGGCAACTCTCCGGCACTATGCGGCAACTCTCCGGCACTCTGCGTCAAATCTCCGGCACTCTCCGGCACTCTGCGGACCTCTGCGGCACTCTCCAGCACTCTCCGGCACTCTGCGGCAACTCTCCGGCACTCTCCGTCACTCTGCGCCCACTCTCCGGCACTCTCCGGCACTCTCGGGCACTCTGCGGCAACTCTCCGGCACTCTCCGGCAATTCTCCGGCACACTCCGGAACTCTACGGCAACTATCCGGCACTCTCCGACACTCTGCGGCACTCTGCGGCACTTTCCGGCACTCTCCGGCAACACTGCGGCATTCTCCGGCACTCTCCGGCAACTCTCCGGCACTTTGCAGCAAATGTCCGACACTCTGCGGCAACTGGCCGGCAGTCTCCGTCGTCTCTGCGGACCTATGCGGCACTCTCCGGCACTCTCCGGCACTCTGCGACAACTCTCCGGCGTCTCTCCGGCACTCTGCGGCACTCTGCGGCACTCTGCGGCACTCTGTGGCCCTCTCCGGCACTCTGCGGCACTCTGCGGCACTCTGCGGCACGGCACTCTGCGGCACTCTGCGGCACTCTGCGGCCCTCTCCGGCACTCTGCGGCACTCTGCGGACCTCTGCGGCACTATTCGGCACTCTCCGGCATTCTGCGGCAACTCTCCGGCAGTCACCGGCACTCTCCAGCAACTTTCCGGCACTGTCCGGCACTCTCCGGCAACCCTCCGGCACTCTCTGGCAACTCTGCGGCACTCTCCGGCACTCTGCGGCAACTCTCCGGCAGTCACCGGCACTCTGCGGCACTCTCCGGCACTCTTCGGCCCTCTCCCGCACTCTGCGGCAACTCTCCGGCACCCTCCGGCACTCTGCGGCAACTCTCCGACACTCTCCGGCACTCTGCGGCACTCTGCGGCACTGTGCGGGACTCTCTGGCAACTCTTCGGCACTCTCCGGCACTCTCCGGCACTCTGCGGCAACTCTGCGGCACTCTCCGGCACTCTGCGGCACTCTCCAGCACTCTCCGGCACTCTGCGGCAACTCTGCGGCAACTCTCCGGCACTCTCCGGCGCTCTCCAGCACTCTTCGTTACCTCTCCGACACTCTCCGGCAGTCTACTGCACTTAACAACACGCAACAGCACTGTACGGCCTTCGATAAGGCTCGAAGACACTTGAAAAACGCGCGAAAACGCTCGAAACCGCTCTGAAAATGATCGAGAATCTCTCGAAAACGCTCGAAAACGCTCGAAAACGCTCGAAAACGCTCGAAAACGCTCGAAAAGCGCTCGATAACGGTCGATATCGCTAGTAGGTAAATGTAAAAAAATCATACGCGAAATGACGGCTTATATCCGGGGTTAGGTAAGCCTCGGTAGGATTTTCGCAGTATTCGACTTTCACGCATACTTGTCGAGTGTAGCGCCGAATGCACACATACTCAACGTTTCGTCCCGTAACTTGGCGCTTGGCTGGTTGGAACGCGCGAAGATTTCTAGGAGCTATCGCACTCACACAGATTCGCTGCACGAGAGTTCCGTACGCGACACCGACGCGTGCCCCAAAGCTCCGCATCGCGTCGACTTCGAGGCAACAATGTACTTAATAGTATTAGATAAGTAGATAAAGTTAAATGGAGCGTGACGAGTGTTCTTCCCTTACCATCAAAAGCGAGCAGTATCGGTAAGCGTAGGTAAGCCACCACGATCAACTGCCGCATGGTATTACCATCGCGAGTACGTGAGCCGCTAATGGCGACTGGTAGATGTATCTCCTATCAGAAATTCGTTGCGCCGCCCATGGGGGCAAAAAACGGTGAAAGCTAACGTATGAAACCAGAGGGCAGCACAGGATGCGATCGCACGATCCTGTCCGTAAGCAATCTCCCAACTCATCTCTATATCTGGTTGTTTTATGCGACGAAGAGCTTTTTATACCAGAGATGAGCAGCTCATCCAGACCTGCTCATCTCTGTTTATACTCATAGGCAGAACAGAGAGGTTATGTTGGTATGTGTTGATAAGGCAGAATAGAGAGGTTACGTTGGTAGTTGTATTCTTTGCTCACTCTCTGCTCACAAGCAATTTTTGAACAGCTACAGCTGACGAGAAAGTCATTGGGATAGATAGATTAACTTAACCAAACTTAACGTCACGAGCAAACTGCGTTGTTCAGTAATGACAAAAGTATACAAAACAAAACTCGATGGATAAAATAATAACAAAGTCTTTACTAGTTTCGAGAACTGCAATGATCAGACCACTGCTCAAATGTCAATGTTTAAGGTAAATAAGAAATAGAGAACCTAGAAATGTATTATAATTATTTGTTTTACTTACCATCTTGTGCATTTTTATTGTTGTATACAGGGTCATAAAAAATGCAAGAAATTTTTGCTTTAAACATCAGTCAACCTCTACGGGTCTTTTACAGCCTTACAAAACACAGCTTGTATATAGGCATCAGACTCGCAATATGTTCATACAAACTCAAGACACACCAAATCCAAACAGTTTAAAATTTCTGCCAGGTGTCTCAGTTTTAGAACCTGGACAAACAAAAGATTTCCCTAATGGAACTGAGGCTTATTGTTCCCCATTGGCAAAAATGTTATTCCGCATTGAAGGTGTTAAAGCAGTGTTTTTTGGTCCTGATTTTATTACCGTAACTAAAATGGACGAGGAGGTAGATTGGAGAGTTTTAAAACCAGAAGTATTTGCTACTATCATGGACTTTTTTGCAAGTGGATTACCAATACTCACAGAATCGCAGCAACCCTCAGATACACGTAAGAATCATTGTTACCTATCGTTATTCTTTTTAATTCAGTATGTATTTTATTGAACTTATATATAATATAGAAATAACTGAAGAGGATGACGAAACGGTGCAAATGATAAAAGAGCTATTAGATACTCGAATACGTCCCACGGTACAAGAAGATGGTGGTGATATCTTATTTATGGTAAATACTTTAATGATTTTTAATATTACTTTTTGAAACAGACCTTACATTTCTTTTGTTTTCAGGGTTTTGAAAATGGTATTGTGAAACTTAAAATGCAGGGATCTTGTACAAATTGTCCCAGTTCTATTGTGACATTGAAAAATGGCGTTCAGAATATGATGCAATTTTATATACCCGAAGTTTTAGGAGTGGAACAAGTAGAGGATGAAGTTGATCATGTAACCAAGAAAGAATTTGAAAAATTAGAAAAAAAAGTCACTAATATAGAAAGTAATGAACAAAAGTAATCTCATTGAGTTATCATAAATGTATATAACATACGATCATATGGTACTTTAATCTATATTAAAAAGTTAATTACCTATTGTTTGATCAAGGTATACATAAATAAAATCTGCCCTGTATATTCATTTTTCTGTACCTTTATTTATCATGGTACAAAATACTTAACGGCCAGGTATTGAGACTTGCCAAACACGGATATTGTTGTCAGAATATCCTGCAAAGAGGGTCTGTCCATCAGTTGACCATGCTAGGGACAAACACTGAGGAGGCTCAGCTTTGCTTGCAGCAGAAACAACTTCTGGTTTCAGTTCTTCGACCATCTCTTTACTTTCAAGATCCCAGATTTTTATCCAAGGTCCATAAGCAGCACATAACCAATAACGATTAGGGCTGAAGCACAATGCAGTGATAATATCATTGTGATCTAAAGTATGTAAATGCTTTCCGTCATTCAAATCCCACAGCATCGCTTTACAATCCTGCAAAGAAATCCACACCTTTATTTTCTGCGGCAAATTAACAAATGTTTATATTTTATTAAATCAAATCAGTCCCATATCCGCAAAATACTCATAGAAATCATGTATTTGAAAATCATTTTCATCACATTTACTAGCATTCGTAAATTTGTAAAATAATAAAAATTTTATTTACCTTGCCACCAGATGCACATAAAGAGCCATCAGGAGAGACAGTGACTGTATTCAAATAACCAGAATGTCCATTGTGGTTAATTTTCAGTCGGCAATTAGTGAGATTCCAAACCTAGAAAAACCATGATTACTGTATTTTTTAAACTAAATACGGAATACCTCATTAAATATGTAATAAAAATCAGTCCCATATCCGCAAACACTCACAAAGATCATGTTAGAAAATTTCATCATAAACTTCTGTTTGTTCCATTGATTATTATTTATAGTAATATTCTTACCTTTACGACACGATCCCAACCTGCTGAGACAATAATGGGATTGGAATGATTAGGAGAGAAACGCACACAGCTAACCCAATCGGTATGACCGTCATCCTGGATCGTATACTTGCACTCTGCCAATGTATTCCATAATTTGATTGTCTTGTCTCGAGATCCAGATACAATTTGACGATTATCTACTGAAAAGGCCACGCTTAGCACATCCTGAAATCAAAAAGCACTCTCGCTCTTTTAATCTAGTATTACCAAAATGTAAACGAACCACATGGCTCAAAGACATCTCAATACTTACCGCAATTCAGTTTTTGCCTTAACAAGTCTTCTATGTACCAAGTAAAAAAAAATATGTAAAAAAAAGCTTCAGTATGTTTCAGAATTTAGAGTCTTTTTCCCAATATACAATAAAAAACCTGCATAATATTTAACATGCCGCAACGGTGCGACGGAAGCACTATATCACACCTTGGTATGGTCTTCAAATCTCCTAGTTGTACGACCAGCTGCCAGATCCCAAAGTCGGAGAGTTTTGTCCCAAGAACCGGACAGAGCATAATTGCCATCAGATGATAGTACGACATCACTAATAAAATGGGAATGACCATACAGACGCTTCTGAGGAATACCATAGTTAGCCTCATCGCGGGTCAATTTCCACATAATTAATGTCTTATCTAAAATCATTCGGATACTTTTAGAAATAATAATTTACTTCGTAAATTAAGGAGTATGATATTATTCTAAACAAATTGATTACCATTAATCAAGAGAAGATATCTTTTACTTTATGAAAAAAATTAAACTCACCACGTGAGGAGGACAACAGCATATCTGGATATTTCGGATTTGTAGCAATTTGGGTGACCCAGCCATTATGCCCACGAAGGGTACCTCTAAGCTGCAACGTTTCCGACATCCTGACGATGAATTACTATTATGCGATTATAGGATGTGCTCGGATTATTCCGAACACCCTGCACTGGACCACGAGCAGCCAGAAAGACGGGAAAAGGAAATCGTTCCGGCAACCGCAGCTTGGAGGGGGCGCCAATCAGTGTTGCCACCGTCGCGATTCAGAGGATAGGAGAAATCATCAAAAAGCGGAGTAGAAATTAACGTTATCGCCGCCATAGTGAAAATGTCCGAACTAAAATCTAATATGGCGGATACGGCGGGATATTAGAAATGTTCATTTTCAGTTTTAAATCTTCTGTCATCAGATGAATTAACCGATGAATGCAAACGTAACTAGAAGTGTATTTCTATACAGTAAAAACTAGATAGATTTCTTCATAGTAAAATCATTAAATTCATTGTTTTACAGTCAGTTATTCGTTAACTTATGATAATTCATTCAAGAACGTATTCATTCTACCATTTAATTAATTTATCAGATTCCCACTACTATAAAATATAACCAGTTAAAACTGCAGATATGTAACATAACCTATTTTAACTCATGCTTTAATGTTTATCAGTGACTACGACCAATGAATTCTTTGCTGTTGGCCTTTGACATCAGTGTATCACGTAAATAAATAGGGAAAAATCTCGGCTCTGACGTTTATCGCCACGTTATGCTTTCAGATGCTTAGTCTTATGAAGATGATGACCAGCGTAGGGAGTCAACATGCTTTTTATACAACACCAAGCTATAAGGTACGTATAGAAATCAGCAGATAAATCATCTGCTCATATTTTTAATACTTCACTATAGAATGTCATTATTTTAAATTATTTTATTTTTGTAAAAGAATTTTAACGTCGCTTAGTTTTTCTCTGAAACATAAGCTACATCATTAAAATCGTTAACATTAGTACATTGTTTTAGAATTAAAGACATTAAGAGTTTAGTCACTCATTTCTGCTATTTCTTTTGCAAATTATAAAATATTATAATATTTATGAAATAAAAATATCAAATTATATTTTATACGTATATAATACTGATCTATGATGTTATATATTATTTTTAGGAAACTGTACAGGTTTTGAATAGCCTCCAAAGTAATGCATCCTACATTCAGAAATTTAATAAAGCTCAGGTATCGCCACTTACCAAACTGCAAGACATGGACAAATTATTACTCCGGTAATGGAACAAGCATAGTATATACAATTCTGTCTCGAACGTATAATTTAGTAGAGGGCCTAGTGTATGTAAGTTATAACAACTTGTTATGTCTGTTATAGGTCTGGGATAACTCCTAAAGAATTAGATTCTTTATCTGTGATACATGTGGCAGGTACTAAAGGAAAAGGATCAACATGTGCATTTACGGAAGCTATTTTGCGACGACATGGTTTTAATACAGGCTTTTATAGTTCTCCCCATTTAATCAGTGTTAGAGAAAGGATACGAATTAATGGAGAGCCATTAAATGAATTTCTGTTTACAAAGTTCTTTTGGAAAGTATACAATGAGCTGTACAGCAAAAAGGACAATGAAGAAGATATGCCACCGTACTTCAAGTTCCTTACAGTTTTAATGTTTCATGTATTTGTAGAAACAAATGTTGACGTTGCTATTATAGAAGTTGGCATAGGTGGAGAGTATGATTGTACAAATGTTGTCAGAAATCCGGTATGTGTAGGTATTACCAGTTTAGGCTTGGATCACACAAAAATGTTAGGTGATACGTTAGAATCAATAGCCTATGAAAAATCAGGCATTTTTAAGCCAAACACGCAAGCGTTTACGGTCCCTCAGCCAGAAAATGCAATGAAAATTTTAGTGAACAGGGCAATTGAGAGAAATTGCAAATTGAATGTTGTACGAAGTCTTGAAAATTACCCATGGAAAAATGAACTTCCTAATTTAGGAATTTCATGTGATGTTCAAAAATATAACGCGGCACTGGCTATTGAAATGGCTCAAACATGGATTCGACATATTAATAAAAACAAAAGTCTATTAAATAGCAATGTACATTTAGAAGTAAGGAATACGTCACGAAGTAATACAGATACCTTTTATGAACTTAATGCAAATCAAGTTATAAAAATAGATCCAACTTATCATAACTTCGCAGAACACTCAATTAAAACAATACAAAACGTCGAGAATCTGACTTATCACACAATACGTGATATATTTAAAAAACCATGTACATTATCTTTAGAAAAAACTGCTGAAGCATTATCCAATTGTAAATGGCCTGGTCGAACTCAAATTTTATATGGTAGCTGTATGACATTTTATTTAGATGGTGCTCATACAATCGAAAGTATTGCGATATGTTGTTTGTGGTTTAAAAATGCTACTTGCCACACGTATGGTAAACGTTTTTTAATATTCAATCTTACTGGAGATCGTGATGCTGTTTGTTTATTGAGATCACTAAAAACTTTGAATTTTGACAGGACATACTTTGTACCAAACATTGCAGGTTCGAATTCTACTATAGATCAAGAAAATTATTCAGTGCCAGTAGAACAGCAAATAATTAAATGTCATAAGTACTGTGAAATTTGGGGACCGAATTCAATAGTTATGAATAACGTAAGTGAAGCATTAAATCATGCAAAGGAAGAAAGCCGACTGGAACACAATTTCACCCCCGAATATAAAACTCAAGTCCTTGTAACTGGTTCTTTACACTTGATTGGTGCGACATTAGCCTGTTTAGATCCTAATTTAACCATGACAACAAACTTCTGAGAATCATGACGATAAAAGTTAACATAATGAAGCTACATATTATTTGTATAAAAATTAGACGTATTGTCTTTATTAATATTATAATCAGATAATAATGATGATTTTTATCATTAAATACGACATAACATTCAGCAATGCAATTAATTTATAGAACAAGTGACCGCCTATACCGTGAATATTAAATTCCTGACAACGAATTTGTACTTCCGCAGAACAATTGTTGTAAAGTAATTTTAAGATTTTGTATTATATGATTTTTAATATTTGTAACAAATTTTTAATAATGTACATCTTTAAGACAGCAAATGCATTTTTTATTTTTTTTACCTAAGATCAATAAAATCAAAATATCTTTGGATGGAACTCTAGTTCCGATTCTGCTTCTGTGTCAGATAAACTCAAGGAGACACCAGCTCGTCTTCGTAATCGATTGTCTTCAGGGCTCTAAAAAGTGTATCATAAAATGTATTAAAGCGTTTTCCTTTATCCAATGTACACATCAAGCAAGTATTTTATATGCAAATGTATCTCACTTGATCCATAATACCAGCTGTAGGTTCCGAAGCATAGCCTACTTCTTGTGCGTCTTCCTCTAAATCAGCTTCATATTCTTCTAGTTCGTCGGAATCAGTGTCTATTTCATCAACATAACGATTGCCTCGCGAAACTTTACAAACCATTTGTGCCAAATCAGTAAACGTATACGAAGATATCGGCTGTTGATTCTCTGCCTGACTTTTGGCACGCATAGCTCTTGCGTTTTCCCGGTCTGCAATGAACCTCGGTAAAACCCCCGCTTTCGATTGACCTTCGAAATATGTTTTCCCTGAAACACCATTGGGATTTACATTATTTTGCGACGACCATGAGATCTCCTCTGAAAGAACCAGTTGTACTCCTACCATGTTGATATCCGACATCCTTGATCTCATCGAAGTTGGCAAATTGTAAGGTTTTATACTTGTCAATCGGTGGTCTTATGTACTCGCAATAATCCGAGGTCTTAACTTCTTCCAGTTGACGTACACAACTGACATACGCAAGTCGGGATTGTATATCCGGCAGGTTGGGGACTTTGACGGGAGTTGCAAAAGGATTCCAACGTTTCCAAAGTAACCACCAGCCGGAAAGTGAATCCCCGTAATTCGTCAGGTCGGTGTCATCCTGGGATCCTACGTCGATGGCCAATATATGGTAAGCTCCTTGTCTCAACATCTCGTCAGCTTGAACAAAACGCGTTAATGTATATGCAGGAATTAGATCCAAAGAGGATTGTGTTACAAGGGATAATTTGACTGCCGTCAAGTCCGGTATACCTGGGACATTATTTACGTAACACCCGTCGACCAAAAGATGTCCATCGAGAGGATCGCAAACGGGAGGGAAAACGCCCGCTATCGTCATACTGGATCGAAGATATCTCCATAGCAAGCCTGAGTCGAGTAAACTGAACCGTTCAACATCTCAACGATGCATCTTTCAGCAACGGGAGTGAGCTTGAACGCTTTAAGGGTGGAAGAACTCATTTTTATCCAAGGTAATTTCAGTCTTTCTTAAGTACCGAATTGTAATTTGACCTTTTCAAAATATTCGGAACTGATCGCTAGTACTAAAATGGTACTGAAATTATTGGATTAGAGTTCTTTCTTTTTTTTTCTTTTTTTAAAGAGAATCGTTCGTTTTAGGACACGAACTGACCGACTTAGGATTGATTTTCATTCATAGGTAATGATGACGTTAACTCGCGGGGATTATTCTAGGGTATACCTTTCCCAACCCCCTACATTTTCTTGGACATCACCTAAATTATGCAAATTACCTGGAAGGTTATTGACGTACCCGCCGTCGAGAAGAAGATGGCCATCGATTGGGTCGCACATGGGAGGCATATACCCAGACAATGACATCGAACCCCGAATGTACCGCCACAGTGATCCTAAATATGACGAACCAGAATTTAGGCATTTCTTTGTCTACACATTGATCATTCATGATTATAAGATCACAGAACAAAATATAAAACTTTATCTACACTTCTCGAGGATTATAACTCACTTTAAAGTATACTTTATCACTTAATCACGAATAATACATTCAAGTTACAAGTGTCATGTATCACACTTCCGTCATTGTTCTTCCTTATGGATTCCTTGTGGACATTTGAATCGCAAATGTACTATCAAATATCACATAGTCTGAGTTATTTCCCAAAGGAGAAGAATTGAAGGTAACCGATTCAATTGAAGAAGTCAAATAATATTGCTATTTAGCCCAATACAAATGATACTTCATTATGTTGATATTGGCTTTTGAGTTGGAACCATGTAACTTCCTGCTTGTTAATTACTGGTAATTGAAGAATCATATTTCCAATCATAATTTCATGCGGGAAGTTACAACTGCCCCATTCATGAATGTCATGTATAAGGGTAAATGGCAGCATGGTTTATCCTGTGTTAATATAGTTTTTAGTTATTTTCAATTCCTTCCAATTCGAAATAAATCAATCCACGTAATTTTTGAAAATTCATTCTTGATTCACATTATCATTTGGTATTTCCCAAACTTACAGTAATACGATGCATCCACGTAAGGTATTTTCAAGATTTTAAATTAATGCCACGACACTGTTTAAAATGTCTATATATCCAATAAATAATATTTATTGCTTTGTAAATCTTCAGCTGATACACAACGGTGAGTACGTCAATAACGGTTTTACGCAAAGCTCAACCCCGTTGATCGAACACATAAAAATTACCGGTTGTCTACTGTGCGGTGCAAAACTAATATATTTTAAAAGAGATGAGTAACTAACTAAGAATTTTATATAAACAAAGCATGCAGCGACTTGGAATTCGATAATCAAAATGATAAAAGCTTTTCAGGTGTTAGATAATATAATTGTATGACTAAAGAAATTTATATCTTTGTGTTAAATATAAGCACTGCTCGTACATGCTTCGGTGAATGTGGTTTATTAATATTTGCAAAAGATCACGTACCAAATATTATTATATTAATGTACTAAATGTTATGTAAAAGAAAATGTGTGAATGTCATCTTCAGTGTAGGGACGCTTTGTTAAATATTTTTAAATTTCTTTGCTCTTTTTAGAATCCACAGCTTCTTTAATTAACATTTTTAATTGACTGTGCGACTAAAATTCATAAATAAATGTGAAACCTTTTTAAAATTATTTGTAGAAAATCAATAGAAATCTAATATTATTTCAAGCGTATATCTACTAGTTATAATTTATATTACAAAAAATATACTCCAAAAATAAAGCCACAAACAAAAGTGTATATTAGTCAATTACTGTTTATGTCTCACGTATACCTGATAAAATATGTGTACTTGCATGGGTTAGTGGTGTTAAGTCACTTTGATATCATTTAAGAACAGCATTCAATGAAAATGTTACTTAGAATCATTAAAGGTGATTGCCAAATGTTAATATTATAACTACATTAAGTGAATAAAATCTTGAATATACAGACCGTGTGTGTGCGTTCGCATGGAAGAGGCAGTAATATCTGTCGTAATTGTAAAAAATGGAAGCCAAAGATCCTCGATGTACGTATCTCCAAATGTAGCTTGAATAGTCTTATTGAAATCTTTACCAGAGAACATAGAAGTCATTGGATATGTTAGATCTAGGATCTGTCTCCACCACTGCGTCATTTTCTAAAACAGTTAGAATAATTTATTTTCTTTTTCACTATTACGTTTTAACGTAACATTTTACCGAGAAGTCATGAATATAGCATTACGTTTTGAGGTTACGCTTTACCTTTGACCATTCTCGGGCCTTCTGAGTAGTCGTCGTGATGTTTTTCTCCATACACCACAAAGCTCCCATAAATGCCCCTATACTAACGCCTCCAACCATGTCGATAGGAATTCCAGCTTCAAGAATTGCTTTTAACATCCCTATATGCGCCGCTCCTCTGGCTCCACCTCCACCGAGAACTAAACCTACAGAAGTACCGGTGAGCCAACGAGCTAGCCGGCTAAAGTCACTGTGTACATTGGGTTCCGACATGAGCACTTTGGAATATAATTCATTCTGTAACGAAAAAAAAAAATAAAAAGTCAAATACCTCTAAGTGATTTATGTAGATTATTGGTTCCAATTTTTAAAGCAACTTACAATACGATATTGGGATCTCCTGGTGAACATACGTTTGGGGCATTGTATGTGATGGTGACTAGAGATCCAAGATCTCATATTTAACCACTGGACGGTATTGGTAGGCCGTTGACCACTCTGTTCTTTGTGCAACAATACAAGTTCTTTTTGAGTTCGCATAGCTAATCTTTCTACTTCTCGCTCTGTCCGCCCTAAAGTAGGCGGTCGATCACCAAGGCCTACTATTAGAATACAATCTGCCTGTCGTACACATCTTTGCGTCCATACTGTGTAACTAGAATCGCATTGATACAGTGAAATTCTGTGTTGATCTTCTTGTTGTGCGAGCCATGATGTCAATCGATATTCATTTACAGGTTCCATGATCGTTGTCCCTAACGTCTGTATGAAAATATTATATATTACATGGTATATTAACTCTTCGGATAGAACATTAAATGTATCCGAAATAAATGATCACATTTAAGAACATATTCTAAAAAATTGTACAATCATGGATCTGCAAATTCGTTCTTTTCAATATTTGTATAAACCCTGATAACTTATGGTGGGGTGTTGAAAGTACTTTAATCAAGGTATGATGCTATAAGATGGCTGAAGGTCAATTCGGTCAATAACTCACGCGACATAGAAAATGATAAAACGAGCAAAATAACCTCCTAATGTTTGATCGGCAATTTCAGTTAAAATCTGTAGATATTTTGAAATCTACCTTTCGGATAACATCTGAAGTAAGACGTAAACATGGTCCAATTGCACATAGTGAGTGATACAGTTCGTATGTAAACGCTGTCAAAGGAACGTCTTCCGATACAGGGACTATTGCTACTGTAGAAAAATTCACTTGTGCCGGCCTTGCATCGACCGTTGTTGCAGTTCGTCTAAAAGAAAAAAGATAATCAATTACCCAAAGAATAAACTAATATTCGTAATATGCAAAACAGACTTCTGGTCACCCAAGAATGCTATCATTTTACATACTGTGGACTATTGACACCAGTTTTTACATTCATTTGTTGCCACGTGCCAAGAATACGATGACCAAGCAAGTTGATTAATCTTGTAACTACTATAGGATATCTTAGCTTGATGACATTGAAAAGACCCTCTGGTAGCTTTGCTAATTCAGAATCTCGTACAGCCATAACTGTCGTGGATCTAGGAGTTTGAGTAACCATCTCCACGATGCCTACTAAGTCTCCTTTGCCATATTCTGCAACTAATTCTTTTTTTCCGTTCGTTTGTGTGATGACTGACCTTAGTCGACCACTGAGAACGATAAATGTTGAATCAGACTCGTCTCCTTGACGGTATACAGCTCGGCCACTTTCAAGAAATAGCCAGTCCAAGGCAAAGTCCACCTAATATAGAAAACGCTATATTGAAGTCTTCCTTAAATGAAATTTAATAATAATCAACATACCTGCCTAACAAAAGGACTCAGTCTCCGAACTACTGTATTGGCAACGTGTAAAACAATGGTAGGTTGTTCTCTCATAAGAGCAAAAAATGTAGATTTAGACAACAATGCTATTCGACTAGCATTCTTTGCTCGAATTGTATAAAAAGATGGTTCGCCAGTTAGTACCGCTAAACCACCAACTATTTCTCCTTGGTGCGCACTAAACATGTGCACTTCTTGGCCTGCATCGCGTCCTTCAGCTACTCTTTGACTGATTGTCAAAGAACCTGAGACAACATAAACTAATGCCACATCCTGTAGAATTATAATGATTAAATTTGATTATTATCAGTTCTTATTACGATGAAATATACAGTATTCAATAAAAACTCATTTTAATAGATTAACCTTATGTGATTCTTCCTTCATAAGGTAAGTCCCTGCAGGTACTTCTCTAATTTGGACTTTACCATCCTTAAGCACAGATTCATCTTCCAAACCAAGCTCTCTAACGAATGCTTCCGTAGCTATCTGAACAAACTGAGCTTCGTCAAGTTGCTGTTGTTGAAGTCCCTCATTAGTGGATCGCTTCCTGACATATGTACTTCCAGAAGATGTAATATCTGGTGGCTCACTGTGCAAAGATTGCTGTAAGTTCATTGCTGTTGGATATGGCCAATGAGAATCACACTCAGGAACCATATCTGGCGCATTCTGGCACAAATGTGGACTTGTGTTTTGACATTTCCAGTCAAATGAATTTTTTGATCTACAAATTCATAATTTATCCAGCATAATCGCCAGAGCCAAAGAAATTAATGACATAACCAATTGATTATGTTTGTGTACCTTCTATTGATTGTAATTGGTATAGGTTGTGAACCAGTAACGAACGAAGATTCTCGATGTTGCATATCGCTTCCTTCACGTTGGTCAAATCCTCCATAAATAGTAGACATATTGTCTGAATTTTGAGCTGCAAAATTCTCTTTTGTTCTTGATCTGACTGGAGAACCAGAGAATGGACTGTGCTTCTTTTTGGACATTCCCTGGTTAACCAACTCTGCAGAAAGTCCAAGGTATTGATGTAATGCAGTAAAGGTTACACGCTGAAGGCGAACCATAATGACCTGGATAACTCGAATGAATGCATCTGGATGATCTTGAAACACCTGATACAATTGTGATAAATTAGTGTTATTATAAAACAAACCATGAAATTACGTATATGACAGATGATACAAACCTCTTGAAAGGCATGCATTGGTAATTTAACGACAACAGAATCTTCTACAGCTCTTGCAGAAACAGTTTTATATATACTCGTATGACCAGTCAGTACATCGGTAAAACTAAGAAGACTAGTAACTGACTCTCCAGTTTTAACTAACTTTAAGGGAATTTGAGATCCATCCGATCCTGTTATGAACACATTTACCAAACCCTGCTGTACTATAAACAAATTCTCATCTGGGTCACCAATTTTAAATAAATTGCTCCCAGCTGGTAAATCGATAATTTCAGTATGCTTGCAAAGTTTAAGAAATACAGGTTTCTCAAAATGTCCAAACACTCTGATACTTTGAAGCATATATAATGCATCTGGTGGTACTCTCTCTCCTGGTCTTAAATCTTCTTCAAGGTATTCGGCAGGTGGTTCTAAAACCTAGATACATACCGAAGTTAATATAAAATTCCGGACAGACATCAAAATATATTTATATATTATTCTTAGATGAATGTCGTAACGTATACCTTGAGTTGTTGAGGAGCAGATTCTTTCCTCAGCTGCAGCAATCGTCGAGCAAACCGCATTACTGCTCTCCGTTTCTTGCCTTGACCAGTTCCGTGCACTTGCCCGCTTATTGATTTTACTTTGCGCAGCATTTTTCTGCCATAAAACAGAACTTTGTCCCTTTTTCTGAATCTTGGTTTGCCACTTCCAACTCCGACAAATTCTTTGACTTCTGGGAGAAATTCTTTGTTCTTCCATTTCCGCATAACAAAGACCGATGCAATCAATACAATGAGTATGACACTGAGAATTACTACGATCAATACATTTGACGTTTGGTATTCTTCGACAAAATGTCCGATCCATCTTGAAAATGCGTACGATCCTAGGCCTTCGTTCAACTTATGATATAGCTCGACAACCTGTAAAATTTATTGCTAATTAAGTATTCTACAGAGTAGAATTCGCACGTAACAGTGTAAATTAAAAGTGACACTTCTTAACAACCTTTATATCAAGTAAATTCTTCTCTCGAATTCGGATGCGACAATGAAGAAACGGTTAAAGAATTGAAATTGTAAAATGCAAATTTCTGCGATAACGTATAAACGTCGAGTGAACGTATTGAAAACGAAAGTGACACAAGGGATATGCAAATACAACCTCCATGCTGAACGTTCATCTCTCCTTAAGAGATGCTTGTACCACCGCTGCAGCTTCGAAGACTGAACGAAATAGTTCCGCACAAAGAAACGGCTGTTCTCCGCCGCAAGGAATTCATAAACGTGACTGTTTCACAATCAAAGAATCAACAAAATAGAACGGACAACCCTTGACCTCCCACTCGAGTTACCCAGCGCCATTTTAAAGCGTGCTTACGATCGACCAGTAAGCCAAAATAAACCACCTTATCGATTGTGGAACGGAGGTTTTCCAGTTTCGTAATATGTCACTATATTAACGGAATAACAGCGTGGTGGAATATTCCGAAAATATTCTACAACTTCCAACCGTCATATAAGCATATCTTCCGCATAATTCACATAAATCATAGTCCACAAAAAGCAATGCATCCTAATATTATTTATTTACTATCCCACTGTCATAATTGTATTTAAACTACAAAAATAATAAATTAACTTCCTCATTATCATATCCAGGGTAAAAGTGAAATCCCTTTGTTTCTAAGTAGATAATAACAAAGCGTAATAATAAACTAGTAACAATGTTTCAAGCGTCCCAATTACGTGCTTAAATCGGTCAATATTAACAATTCAAAATTGCCGCCACAGACCAATGTTTCCCTCGGATAGTACCAGATGACGCATACAACGTTTTCAAAAATCGAGTCATGTTCCCCGAGTCTCCCATAATGCTCCCGATTGGGAAATAAATTCTCTGGTGACTTTTAGCGAATATTCTGATCGCGCTTCACCATCTAACCGAGTGATTCTCGTGCATTCAAGGACTCAAGCATTCCACCAAACGAATCTCCTTCCTTTCCCCTAATCGTGAGAAACAGGAACCCTAGGGTCGGTTTCTTCCCCCTTCCTCTCCGCGAGATCAGAATTTGAAAGTCCCGCCACGTGGCGGGCACATCGCGAGGGCGCCGAGAGATGGCGCTCGCGTCCATTCCCGAAATCCAAGGCACGGCCAGCCCAGTCTCCTGTAAGTGGCCTTCGGGTTCGGTCGAGCGGTGGTTCGCGGGCAGACATGTTGAGCGTAATTTCGCGGTCGTGCGGCGCGATCTAGACGCGTGAATTTCATGCGTTCAGGGATTCGCGGTGCACCGAGGAAGACGAGCGCGGTCTTAGCTGCGCTACATGCGAAGTGACGCGCGCAAGCTCCGCCGCCTGGTCCGTCCCGGCCACAAACATGAGCTGGGGCACCGAACTCTGGGTAAGTCCGGCAAGAGGACGGCGACTGGTCCGCGAGCACGTACGCGCAATGTAGGTCCTTCTCTCCGCGAGCGTTTTACCCTGGTGCAAAGAAATCATTCGGCCAGGCTCCGTGCGTCGCCGCTCGGCCGCGGGCCCGCCCGCGCGCGCGCGCGCTCGCGCGCTCGAGCGAGGTACCCCAAAACCTGTTCGCGGGGCTGGTCCGCCGACACTTTTGCCTTTTCAGTTGCTAGCCGCGGGCAGCGTTCCCTCTCGCGTGTCCTCTCGTGCCCGCCGCCACTTACCGAGCTCGCCGTCCGGACGGCGCTCTCGGACCCGCGAGAGGTGCTCCAATTTCCCCGAAGTACCTGTCGCCCTTACGGGCGGGTGCGCGAGAGTGACCCGTTTTCTCCCTAGCATCCGATCTCGCCTCTCTTTCCCCTCTCTAGCTGGCTGCGTCCGCTGTGTGCATTGTTCCAGGGCCTCTTACGCGAGTGTCCCGTACGCTCGCGGCTGACTCGCGTGACGTTTCGACGTTGCCAGCGGCAACGTCGCCTAGGTTTAAAGCGCTCTCTGCCTTGCTCCTTCTCCTCCGCGCGACGTCCCTGGGAAATGTCTGGCAACGATGAATTGACCGCTTTGATCGCCGCGATGCCGGGGATCGAGGGCGTCGCGTGGTCCGGTCTGGCCGACCTTGCGGACCTCGCTGACCTTAGCATCCCCGTTGGCTCGCCATCTTTGTTCTCGGGCCCTCCCGGTCCTTGCTGACTCGATTATTTCGCATATTTCCTAATAAGATAAACGGGATTCGCGAAATTCCACTTTCTATCGAGAGAGACGATGAAAGATGTACATATCAGCTGCTATGGGCCATCGGTATTAATTCCAGATAATGGGATGGAGGGAAAATGGATTAATGTGGAATGTTACGGTCAAGCGCTTTGGCAACGAAGGTAAAAAGCACTCTTAAAGTGGAGTTAATCACTTTTGACCGTGTACGGGTTGTATGCCTTTTGGGCGGGGTTAACGACTTCAAGAGCCTCCACGAGAGCCGTTCCGCGATACGATGAACGGCCTTCGTGAACGCGTTCATTCATCGAGGTAAGCGTTCACTTGTTTCGGGGATTTATCGGGGTACCGATTATCCTGACCGATTTTCTATCGCTACGTAAATCGGTTGGTCGCTTATCTCGTTAGTTTCAGCTTACCGACTCATTCACGCGAACGTCTAATTTGTGTAGGACGAGTTCCTTCCTCTCCGGTATCAACGAATGATTCACGCGTTTCCGTTACTTCTGTTTGTACGGTGCTTTGATTTCTTTTTTTTTTAACTTTTCTTTTCTTTTTTTTTCGCCTAAACGACGCGCGGGTATGTGTCACTTGAGACCCGCGCTTCGTATTCGCGGATGTACTTTCATGCTGTGTTCAGGTTTCTGGATATTGATGGTTGAGCCGAAGAATTGAACCAGAGGGATGAATTCCATTTTTAGAATTTTTCTTTCTTTTTCGATTTTATCGCCGGAGCATTGGTACTTATGTTTCTATGCTTATCAATTTCCTCTACTTTACCTCGTGGGGAGTTAATCGATTTGGGAAATGGGCCGCCCAATTTGCCGACGCGTTCTGCGGACGTTACCACGATTCGTTCTGCGTTTCCACGCGCCCCCCTCGGTGGCCGACTCGTCGCGTCGTCTCTCTCTCACCCGAGTGCCGCGCCTTCGTGCCCTCTCTTTCCCACGCATCGATAATTCGCCGGTGCGCCCAGCGAGCTTATTTCCTTGCACGCTCCGCTGCTCTCCGGAGTCCCCGTCTAATTAGAAACTTCCACGTTTCTCGGCCAGGGGAAAAATTGCCGTGCCCTTCTTTAAGACTCGCTACTCCTCCTGGAATACCTGGGCACTGGTTTTCGTTATCGCGTGATAGCGAAAACGTCATCGAGATGTCGCGATCCAGTCCAATTTTAACACCTGTCTTATGTTTACCCTCGATCGCGGTCTTGTATTTCCGACTGAAATTGTATTCCCGTAAAATTGGTCGACAATATCGCTGATCAAAATCGAAAGTTCAGAGAAAAGATAGAATATCTAAAACGTTATATATTAAATCGTGTGCTCCTTGATACATTTTGAGGTTATCCCTCACTTGGCGCGTCCACGTGAAATTTCCTCGCCGGTGGGAAAACTTGCACCTTCCTACGATAAAGGGAGAAAATCCGAAAATGTAATCCGACTCGTCGGTGGTACTTGCATATATAGATATCACGGGGACACCTTCGGTTAAAAGGGTCAGCGAACGCTTATCTCGACCGAATCGTTTTCTATCCGCCGTACTATTCACCTTATCCATTCCCCGACTGAAATGCCCAGGAGGAATGCACGTAGAACAGGTACAAGCAGTATTTTCAGGTGAAACAACCTGTTTCTTTCGGTGTAACGCCCGCGGGAGGAGCACTTGCCTTAAAAGGGTCAGCGAACCACTATCGGTAGCGGCTTTATACATCCCAGAAGCCGTGTATCCCCTTTTTTTTATATATATATTTTTTTACTCCCTTTTTCAATCGATCCGCTATGAATTTCCGTGGAATGGATGCATGGTATTTTCGGATAAAACGCTCTAATAAAATAGCGCTCTCGAACGCGGTCTCCTCAAAAGGGTCGGTGGACCATTATCGCGGTCGTCGGTGTCTCCTAGTCGCTGACCATTTTCTTTTCTTTTTTTCTTTTTTTTTTTAATTTTCTTTTTTAATCGGTCAACCGAGAACGCGCATAGCGTTTGATATTTTGCGAGTGAAATTGAAGGTTTATTTGCTTGCTAGCCCTCGAGCGTGGTTACAAGTACCATGAACAAAAGGTACATTCCGCGGTCAACGCGTTCCGTGAAACGCACGGACAACTTCGGGAGCCTCGCCGGCGGAAACCGGCGGCGCCTCCACCTTTCTCGGGCGCTCGCGGCGCGCGTATAGACGCCCTGTACGTGGATTCCGCGTCGAGGCGGCGGCTGCGACGATGTAACCGTGTGTGCACGATGGGTGCGTCGGCTAACCGGCGGCTCGAGACATCGAGCGACGTCCCGTTGCTAACGTCGCGACGCGACGCGATGCCACCGGCGAGAGACTTTTCATCTATGAGAAAGAAAAAGAATAAAGAAAACGGGTACCAGTGTCGCCCAAGACAGAGAATGAATTCCGCAACTGGTTGATTTTGGAAAAAGTCAGGACTTATTTTCAATATTTTTATCATTCAAATTGATAACACGTGGATTGGGTTGAATCGATATTACTCGAAAATTATCGTGATGCGATTTCGCGACTGGCATTTACTGCGTCGCGACGCGATGCCGACGGCGAGAGACTTTTCGCGCTCATTTATGAAAAAGGAAAAGAAAAAGGGAAACGGATACCGCGTCGCCCAAGACAGAGAATGAATTCCGGAAATGGTCGATTTTGAAAAAAGTCAGGATTTATTTTCAATATTTGTATCATTCAAATTGATAACACGTGGATTGGGTTGAATCGATATTACTCGAAAATTATCGTGATGCGATTTCGCGAGTGGCATTTACTGCGTCGCGACGCGATGCTGCCGGCGAGAGACTTTTCGCGCTCATTTATGAAAAAGGAAAAGAAAAAGGGAAACGGATACCGCGTCGCCCAAGACAGAGAATGAATTCCGGAAATGGTTGGTTTAGAAAGAAAAAAATTGGCATTATTTTGTAGAAAAACGTTTAATATCAAGCACTGATCAACACAAGTTTATAACATATATTATAAATTTATCTCACATATGTACTAAATTTATAATACACGTTATGCATTTTATTTTGAAATATGTTACAAAATTGGTGTACCATGTCTGAATAAAACTTCCAAGAAAAATGTTATAAAATTATAATATTTTTTTTAACAGGGTGTATACAGAGTCCCTGAAACGTATTCTACACCGTTAAATAAAAGAAATATTAAAATTTAATGAAATCCTCGTTGGAAGTTTCATTCAGACGTGGTATACCGATTTTATTAAAATTTCCAAATTGTATTTATACCATGCTTTATAAATTTAACACGCGAGTGTACTCATTTTTTTAGAAAATGCTAAATTTATATCGAAGTTCATCTTAAATTTGTAATAATTCACTTTTGAGCCGTGGATAGTTATCATATTACCCCAACCTCGTGTATAAAAATGTGTATGGATTTTGTGAATATTTTTAACGGTGTATGGATTTTGTGAATACTTTTAACGGTGTATGGATCTCGCGGTATCGCGACTCGTCCAAGGGATGTCGCGGAGTGGCATCGGAGGCGCTCGATTGGTCGCGAGGTCGCCGGTCGAGATGCTTTTCGCGACCTCATTGGCAACATTGGGTACAAGGCGTCTTTTCCATCGATCCTCGTCCCAATAACTGTTTCGGACGTGTACCAGACGACGCGGTTCCAGCCGACTGTTGAACTCCGCTCTACCGATAACCATCGTCGGGGTGGCGACCGCGGGTCGCCGTGCGTGACCTGCGAATGTCGCGCCTCGTCTGCCACCGACCCTGGCGCTTGGGGAACGCGACGTGATTCGCGGGCAGACGCGACGCGACATCGCCGGCTTCGCATCGGGGGGGCGCGATTGGTCGCGAGGTTGTCAGGGGGTCGTCCGAGATCGATGCTTCCGGCGGCTTCTTTCGCGGCCCGGCGCGGACGCGGACGCGTCGCGGGCCTACGCGCGGATCCATACCTCTCCCGTTAAGGTGAAGTGAAACACGTCGAGGAACTTGATCGACGTCGATAAAGAAGATTTTTCTAAATGCCTACGTTGCCGACGTTCGTTTTTCTATTGACAGCTGGGTCGAATTATATTGGGCATTGTACCGAATGACATACTCCATCTGTCGTTTTCGTACAATAATTATAAAGAAATCGAAGTAAAACTCCAGAAATCCTCTGGATTCATGCTTTCTGGGGCCCTAATTGACTGCAGAGGGACCCCCTGCGCCATCTGTGATTTCCAGGTCAATTAAATTTTCACTCCGAGACCT